CCTCTGTGATGACATCACAGCCTGTCGCAGCAGCACCTGACCCGCGCCCTCGTAGTGCCGCGCTGCACGAACCAGCAGGTCCGGCCTGTAGAGGGCAGTCACAGGTTATAATCAACCGATGACACACTAAAGTGAATCAAGTCCAGAGTGACACTCACCTACTCAGCCAATCAACTCTCTGTTTAGCCAGGGCGTGGACTCCACCCCTCAGGTTACCCTCCTCCAACAGGGAGTAGGCGGGGCTCCAGGCCTCGTTAGCAGCAGGTCCACTCCTCAGACCTCCTCTCCCCCCCGCCATACACACCAACACATCAGCAATACAGGAGAGACAGCGAGCAGCCACGCCCAGCTCAGTCCCAGGCTCCGCCCCCTGCTCCCTGCAACCTCCTGCAACTGAAGAAAGAGGAAAAACAAGAGGAAGCATAAACTAGGCTTTATCCCACCTAATGTAAACTCTCCCATCCACCCCACCCCCGCACTCACTGTTGTCCAGTGTCTCCAGGAGCGCCCCCTGCTGGCCGCCCAGCACCGCTGCCTTGAAGTAAGGCAGCAGGCAGACGTCTGTCTGACTCGTCAGGGCGTCAAACACTCTCCGCCTCCCGGCCAGGAACATTAGCTCCTCCCTCCACTGGAGCTCCGCCTCCTGACGGGTGAGTGACAGCACCTCCTTTAACGACAGCCTCCATGCCTCCCTCCACCACTGCAGGCAGCCGCCTCCCCCCAGCAGCCAGCCAACACCGTCCTCCAGACCCACAGCTCCCCCTCTGGGGTGGAGCACCGGGAAGAGACGAGCCTCCAGGAGGGAGCGCTGTGCTCCTCTGACCCATAACTCCTCCGGCCTGAGGAGAGACGAGAGGAGGGGAGAGAGGAAGAGAGGAGGAGAGGAGGAAGAAAGAGGAGAGGAAGAGAAGAGGAGATCTTAAGAAAGTGTTTACGAGGTAAAATAGATTTTTGTGACCGTTGAACAACTTTTTATCAGTTTTATAAAATTGTGTTTGTAAAACACCAAATCATAAAGTACAAAGACTGATTTTCAAGAATCAATCTCACTGTGTTCCTGTCCTGTTGAAGAAGTCGCTCCATCTCTGGTTGAGGAAGGAGGCGTCGCTGTCATCAGAGGAGACCTAAGGAGGAGGAGGAGGAGGAGGAGGAGGAGGAGGAGACTGACTTACATCTGGTGATGAAGCTCTGAGCTGATCAGAATATTCACCTGCTGCATTAAAAAACATTTGCTTTCTTTTCTTTTACTTCCCTTTGCTTCGTTTTGTGAAACTCGTCTGTTCAAATGAAAGGATGAACACAAACGAGGTAAACATGAAGAAGTCTCTCACTTTCAGCAGAAGCTCTCAGAGTCCATGTGAATCATTGACATAACAACTGAGCAAAGTCCGTCCACGGAGGAAGAGAGCTCCGGAGAATTAAGAGGATTTTCTTCGGTGAAGAACGAACATATTTAATGTTTCGCTGGTTTATTAGAAGGACATTTTGATAAATGTTGGTTTTATTGAACTTTATTAATGAATCATTTCAAAGCAGGAATAACAAAGTGAGAGAAAAAGACAGAGGGGACATTAAAGTTTCATATTGGACGTATTTTACCTGCAGGTTGTCCTGCGCTCCCAACACTGTGTAGACGTCCAGCTTTAACTCCCCCAGCTCGATGCGATGTCCCTGGATGATGATGTCATTGGTCATTTTCAGCTGCCTGATGCAACGTGATGTCGACGGCTGGAGACCCGACAGTAAACATCCCGAGGGGACGTCCAGAGGACCCTGGTGCAGAGGTCAGAGGTCACAACACTGGAACAGGAACTGAACAGATTCTTCTTGTGATCAAACAGACTCTATAACGAGGGACTAGATTCTGGGGCCAGAAGCTTCTGGTTAGTGTTTCTAGTTTGACCGATCATCTTTGAGCTGCAGGTCAGAAGCTCTCTGAACGGAGAAGGAGGTTTGGGCCCCGATAACAACTCTTTCCACCAGAGGCCCCGAAATATGTTCTGCTGTCCTCAGAAGCTAATTCATTATGAGAAGATGTCGATGTTAAGCGCCTCACCTGTAGGTGGCAGTGCTGCACCACCGCTCCGGTCGCCACAGCAACGTCTGCCTCCAGAACGCTGTTGATCACCCGACCTCCATCGCTGAGGCCGCTCTGCCTCTGAGGGGAAACAGGAAGTCGTGCAGCGCTTGTGAAACTCAGCAAGAATGCTTGTATGAGGACACAGAGGAACAGGGTGAGTCACCTGGATGTGAGACAGCGTGTTCCTGTCTGTCCAATCACAGGTCAGTCGCTCCACGTGCTGCTTTCCAGACGAAGTCAGGTAGTCGTAGCGACCGCCGGGGACGTAGACTTTGAGGGCGAGAGCAAAACACAAGTCTTCAAGCTAAGCTAAGCTAGCAGTTCACCCTGTTCCTAGTCTTCAAGCTAAGCTAAGCTAGCAGTTTTCTCCTGTTCTCAGTCTTTATGCTAAGCTAAGCTAGGTTTTTCCCCTGTTCCTAG